AATTCTATTTGAATCCAACATTTAGTATTTACCCCTCGGCACAGTTATAAGTTTGTAGCTTGGTTTCAGTTGATGGAGAACAGTGCCCTGCCTGAGAGATCACACACGCCAGAGTAAGAAAAGCTATAGGATGATACAAGGCTTTTTGTCCTTAAAAGGATTCTCCGAAGCGGGCACTCCAACCAGCAGCGGGTCATTCCTGGCATGTTGCTCACAGTAATTCATTAGCTCAGAAGATGCTTTCGAGACCTAAATGTTGCAAAAAAGCAGAAGGTTAGTGAGAACACTCAGGTGAAGGTGCAAAGCTCAGCCCATGCAGCACCACTGACCCCTCCCCAGGCTCTAAGGGGAGGAAGAGAACTGAAGTTCAGCTTTCATAACAGAAACTTTGTGGAGATGGCAACAAAAGAAAGGGGAAATGGACATAAGAAAGGAAAAGTTTGCAAGGTCTGATATAAATAAAGCAATGCTCATGTGAAAAATGCTCTCAGAGATTGAAAAGAAGGTATTTTTCTCCTAATTTTTAAGGTCTTTGGGATAAAAAAGGAAAAATAAAAGCCTGCTTCAGAGCGGCCATCCTCTGATGTTAAAAATGGAGGTTTTGAAATTGTTAGAAACTATTATTTAAGGCTCTGCTTATTTTAGTTCAAAGGTGTCTTCTGGGAAGTGGGAGCCCAGAGCAGCCCGGCAGAGATGTGGCCGTGGTGGTGGGCAGTGAGGAAGAAAGGAGGCATGGGGAGAGCTCAGGCAGGGAGGTGCTGGCAGCTGGAGACCAGCATCAGCCCCCTTTTATTTTCATTAACTTAATGGCTGGTCGAACATATGGCAAATCCAAAACACAGACACAACCAGGCCACATCTGGAAGACCCAGATGTGACCTGTTGTAGCTGCAGAGCCTCATGGCAGCTGTTCCCTTCCGAGGATCTCCATGGCTGCTTGGCTCCAGGATGACTTGCCCCTCTCTGCTGAGCTGAGCCTCAATTTAGGGGCTCCTAAATCTAGAGCACCTACATGCCAGCTCCCTGCTTTCTCAGCTCTGCTACCCTCATTGCAGCACTACCCAAGGGTCACTGTGCTCTGCAGCCTTGCAGAGGATGCTGCAGCACACAGCCAGCAGGAA